GACAATTTTTCCGAAGATTTTACTTAGTCCTGGAGGGGGGTAGAGGTATCTTCGTCGCGCTACCCCCCCGGTCATCACTTTTAATGAAAAATTGGGAAGTTCCCAAAAAAATAAATGACTGTCTGCCAAGTTTTTGTGAAGTGTCTGGCAAAAGAAAAAAAAACTTTAGCCCCCGCCACTCTCAAAAACAATCGAGAGCCTTGGTTGCTAATTATATCGTACACTACAAACTATCAAGAAAATTACAGGAATGTCTTGAAATAGTAAAAAAATAATAAAGTGGCAGATCGAACCTTCTCAAGTTATATTGTAAAATTGAAGCGACTTTTCATAGACTTTTAAACGAAAACGTATATGCTAAGCATTTTAAGCTTTCTCAATCATGTCTATCGCATGAGATTGTCACATGGATAACGATATGGCACCTTTGGATGTGGATAGCGAGTTAATCAATAACAGACCTTCTTTTCAGTATCCACTGCTAGCACATTTACTGAGCAAGTTTTCATTCAAAGAGACACCAGTAATCTAAAAAAATACTTTCTTTTTTATTTTCAACATTAGGAACTACTTGCTTATGGATTGGGAAACATTTCCTCGTCATTTTTTCAATGTTATCCAAGTTCAGGCTCATTAAGTCGTTCAATGGTACAAGGAGAAAGTGGTGGCAAAACATCACTTATTGGTGGTTTTTCTTCTGTAGTTTTAGCTGCCGTAATTCTAGTGCTATCACCTCTTCTGGAATCTCTTCCTATGCCGTGTTTAGCCGGTATTATCATTGTCAATCTCAAAGGGCTCCTGCTTAAAGTTACTGACTTTACTTATTATTATCGTATTAGTATGATGGAAGCCGTAAGTCGAATGAGCAATAGTGAAACATCTTATCATAGCAACATCTCTTTTTCCGTACAATAGATCCTTTGGTTTATCACATTTTTGACTGTCATTTTATCCGACGTTGATATGGGTGTTTATGTGGGTATAGCTACTTCGTTTCTCATGAACACGATTCGTACGCAAAGGTAATCTCATTTGTCGTATGTGAGTGTCTAAGTAAACATTTTTTTTCTAGGCCACGCTTCGCTGTCCTCGGTCGAGTAGGTGATACTATACTCTATAAAAATATAAAAGCGTTTCCATCTGTAAGTGATCAATTGAGTTTCTAGCAGAATTCTTGATATGTAGCTAGTGTCTTTTGATAGGCTGAACAACATCTCAATATCAAAATTCTTCGTTTCGATGGATCTCTTTATGCGTGTAATGCACCTTTTTTCAAACGAAAATTCTATGAATTAATCTGTATACATCTCGGAGAACAACCCCTCATCTCACATAGTAAACCGAAAACGATTGAGATCCAAGATACTACTGACAAATATGTCGTTCTCGACTGTTCACCAATGAATTTTATCGATAGCGTGGGTGTCAAACTGCTCATTGAGGTGCGTATGATTAACGAAACATAAAAAGACGAATACTGATGTGTATTTCATTCATGTAATACATTTTAGATTTACAATGATATGAAAAAACGAAACATTCATCTATGTTTAAGCGAATGTCGTCGTAAGTTGATAATTCAGCTGAGATTTTTGTGGAACTCACGTATTTTTTCGAAGAAAATAGTCAATGTAAGTTTTAAGTCCAAGTTTTATAGCTTCCTTCGCTCCTGCCTCATTACAAAGCTTAGCAGCCAGGATTATAGGCGCTAGATGGAATTAATAACAAAGCTTAGCAGGTTTCAGAATATTGCAATCTTCCTTGAAATTTAAATGGCTTGATGACATTTCTCAGGATTCTAAATAACTTAGTTTCTGATTTTTGCATAGATAAACGATTATATGATACATATCAATGATGTTATTTTTATTTCTCATAACTGCCATATGATCAGAATGACAACAGAAGCTGATTGAAGTTTGACTTTCAGAAGTAATCAATGTCAGAGCTTCTGAGTTCATTGAGATAAATAATAGATGGCAAAGGTTTTCTGTAGACATAGCAAACTTGCACAACGGACTTATTTTGTTTATTGAATCAAGGATTAGACGTATAATAATGAATTGTGCCAAATCAAATAAAAAAAAAAGAAAATAAATACAAAGCAGATAGCAATAAGAAAAATGGAAAAAGAACGCCAGTGGAAATAAAAGAAAACAAAATTTTTGTTTGAAATATATAAATACATAGGACAGAGCGTTTATTGACTATTGGTTATCTCTTATAAATTTTACATATTGCGTGTTTTGTATTAGTACAATTAAGCTAAGTAAGACATGTGAGTTCCACATTTCAGCATAGAAGAAGCTGCGTTAACTAATTTTTCATTATTGATTATCGGTCTTATGAAGTTGATGTTCGTTATACATTGGATTCGATGGATTTTTACGGGAAGACGGAGGATCGTATCATCTATGTCTCAACACACGATGCCGTTTTGGCCATTCTAGCCGACATACAAAACAGTAAGCATACGGCTCAGATTAACTATTAATTCTCTTTTAATTTTCTAGACTCCATCACAGAAACTAATCCACAAACCGTCATCACACCAGTTTGATTTTCGGTTTAAAGATTTTTCTTCTTCTCATGGCTTCAGAGTATCTAAAACATAGCAACATACTTTTTCAACTATTTTACTCGCTTGACACTAATCAATCAGCTAAGTACATCTTTGTTTGCTTTTTGTGTATGGTAATAAATTTGAAGTTCAGTCATACTCCAATTTCTGAATGAATTCTATACAATTTGAAAAAAAATAACACTATCTAGGAAAGCTCATTTCTTCATTTGAAGAACAGACGAGAACATGTTTGATCGGCGTCGGCAGTCTTTAAATTCATATTCATTTATCCATATGAGCATTCACAAGATTGTCAGTTATTGGTTGCCCTACTTGCAGCTTGATGGATACATCTCGGTATTCTTTTTTTTCCTTGGTTTTACATGATTTCAGGGAACTAAAAATCCTTTTTGATGATTTTGTGTGAGTTGAAGCGATGTTTATTGATGCTCCATGATTCTTGTGTTATTTGCCATGATTTTCAAATGATTCTCAGCGATTTTTAGTCACCTATGTGTGCTTGTGATTGTAAACTCACCAAAAGCGTTTACATTCACCTTATCTAAGCCACCATCATTCTTTACACATTGTGGATCGTTCCATTTGTGATGTCTTTGAATTTTTGAACTTTGTGAATGTGGCAATAATCGAGTTAAATGGCACACATCATGATGAGGCTTTTGTAAAATGTTTTAAAAGACATCCTTCGTGCACTCTATGATAATACCAAAATAGAGAGATCTCCAAGACTCGAAAATAATAGATTCCCAGGTCAGTCATGTTCGCTTGTACACAGCTGTATACCAATCAACCAAGACGGAAAACAGCAGGTGTTAACAGTGATTGTTTACAGTAATTGTAAATGATGTTTTATAATGTATTACGGCTATCGTAAATAATGACTGTAGCAAGTCGCCGCCCGTGATGAACTGTGAGTGTGGGTGTGGATGGATGTGGGGTGCAGGTGTGGGTCGAGAATGAAGAGGATCCATACTTCACCAATACTCAAACTCACACTCCATTCCCATACCCTTTATTTTCAGTGAATTTTGATGATCAAAATGCAAATCTAAACATATACATTTATATTTTTACTTCATCAAAACTAATTATCGTTTTTTAAACAGACTGTGCCAGTAGCATTATTAGGACACATTAAAACTGTCCAAGAAAATCTCATCAAAATTAAACGATCTACTAATAGTTTTGTAGCACCATTAAGCAAGAATAGGATTTTTATCAATATGAGTCTATTTTATTATTTGTGTGCAATCAATGCTTGATTGATATTTCCATGAAAGTTACCATTTCAGACATTGAAAAGCAGTAATAGATAAAAGTTACAACGATCAATTATAATGGTCCTACATAGTGCCACAATATTTTTTTGCTCTCTATTGTCAAGAATCATTTTATCCAAATAATTCGCTTTATTATTTAACAAATTAATCTTTCAGAGAATGAAAATCACATTTAATATGCATGCAATATGTACCTTACATATTCTTGTTGAGTTTTACATGCCGAGGAATGAATGTTAAGCTTAATATCGAAAAGTTTTTCTTGGAGATATATGTAGTGCTACAACTAACAAATATCGAACATTTCGTTTTATGAAAGTTCCACTTCAATGACAGACGTAAAAACGTGTCGTGTTCAGATTTAATATATCAAATGATGTAATAATAAAAGACTGGAGTCCTTTGGAACATGAACAATAAGTTGTGACAAGGTATGGATGTGAGTAAATTGCTCAGACCACCCACATAATGATTCACATTCACTCACATTCGTACAGCCACACTCACCGTAACTATAGAAGATAATGATTCTTTTTTGTTTGACGATAGTCGAATGAGGAATTCTGACTTTATTTCAACAAAAAAAATTTTAACTGTGGGTATTGATGTGGGTGTGTGGAGTGTGGGTGTGGGTGGGTGTGGGTGTGGGTGATGTGCTGGTGTGAATGTGGGTGTTCGTCTGTTCTTAACCCATACTCACACCCACACCCTTTTTTTCTACTTTTTCACTGCTGCAATGATGCGTTCCGCTTCGCTGCAGGCCATCATAAATCGATAGAGAAAAGTTCTTTATATGATCCACATTGAACGGTTTTCAAAAAAGGCAGTTGTATCATTGAATTACATCTGAAAGCCCTTGTATAATTCTAAAAAGTGGATTATTTTCGTTACTTTGCGGAAATTATAAATGATCCGGAGCATTTTTCACAAAGGAATTTGATTGAACTGAAGCTTTCAATTGATTTCGCGCGTAAGTAATCTCTTCAAGATAGCGACCAACATTTGAATCGGAATGGCCAACAGTAAATTGAACATGCTGGACAATGAACTCCACAGATACTAAAAACTGTTCGAATCCGATGCGAATGAATGGATCAAAACATGCTTGTGGTGCAAATACATTATATATTATCTGTCGATTACGCAAATGCTTTCGTGCATATGGTTCATCTATTCCTTTCGATTGCGGATCAGCATAATCTTGAATAGAGTTCATCACAGACACATCATCCGTCATAATGAATACCGATGAGAATGTTCGATTTTGCCTCTGTTCTTCATCAACTAATCCTTTGACATACATTGATATGTTGCGCCACCTATTATGCTTCTGCCAAAATGAATCTTCAGGCATTTTATCGCCACGACGAATAAATATTGCTGCTGTGTCATTTAAAGTACGTTGATCTTTATCCCTTAAGTAATTTGACCAATGCTCGGCCAGTAGATGTGTCAATTGATGAATGCGTGGCGAAAACCGCTGAAAATAGACTACGAACATATATCGAAGAAATCCTGAAAACACACGATCTTGCCATGTTACCTTGTATTGGTCGCCAGGTAGATGTCGATCCGGCTGGCCATACTGTCGATTTCTTGGCATCCACTGACCAAGAAAATTATTAGTCAGTGATGGAGCTCGATAAATATGTTCGTCTGTGTGATTGATTAGCGCTACGACGGGCAGATTGTACGTTGGATTAACTTGATTACGACTAAACAACCATCGGCGAACTGGTACGTGCTCATAACCGAATGCCCATACTTTGTCACTGCCTAATACAGAGTGCTTACTAGTTTTCAACTGATTGACATAGAGAAGTTGTTGAATATCTGTCATGTACGATGAAAGATTACTTTTGTCTCGAAGTATCAATTCAATGGATTTCATTCGGGAGTCTTTTAAGTATTTGGAGCATGTAGATATCGGTTCAAAGTATCGTACAATGCCTTCATGAAGAAAATCATCTCGATATGATTGTGAAACATGAAAATGATTGTACGAAAGCAGTGTCATCCAGGGGCTGTATAATGTTTGACCGAACTGTTCAATAAAGCAGTGATAGCGACTGAAAAATCCCCAATGATGTTGTTGAATAACGAAAAATCGACGATGAAGACAATCATTAATTATCTGATCATCGGGTCTTTTTTCGTCGATCGTTTGTTTATTTGACAGATAAACGTACATTTCATGCTCAGCTGCTTCATTCCATCGTACATCACCATTAGCATCAAGCCATAAAATAGGTGGAGAGGATGATGAGCGAAACACACTTTCTGAGTAGTCAAATATGAATGACGAACGATATGAGATGACCCTACTACGAGACTGATATCGACTGAAATAAGTATCCGACTTTAACAATGTTCCAGTTTCAGCCTGCCGAAATGGTTTTGCTGTCTTGGTATTTATCACTTTGTTTTGAGAACAGAATTGACTAGGATATGATATTTTTCTCTCTAAAGCTGTGTAGCCTATACTCACAATAATAATAATAGCAAGTACACTTTTAACGAAAAGTTTTGGTCGAAACATCGTAATTTTGTTCGTATTCGATGTACTCTTGGGTGTTTACAGATAGAACAGACTACCATTCATTGGAGTACATTTATTCTACCTTATGAATACAACAAAGTATAAAAGAGGGCGAAATTGGGTGTGGGTGTTGGTGGGTGTAGGTGTGGGTGAGATGTGAGTGTGACTGTATCCTTTTTCTCGTCCACACTCAGAGTCTACGCCCACACCCTTACCTTTACAAATGTAAATAAATATCTCAAGAAGCGACGAAACGCAGTCCTTTTGTCACAATTGTATACTCTGCTGAAAGTCTTGTTAGCTCTTGTCAAAGGCTTCGAAGAAGGCGTATTTGCTTATACGAAAACTCCAATATTAAGAACTAATAGTAAAATGTGACTTTTATTACTTCTGATACGCATCGTCTTTGTGGCATTTATTTTTCTATCCAAAACTGTAACTATGTAAGTGAAAAATGTATTTCTGTATGTTATTATCATCGTTCTACATGATGGTCATATTGGTTTCAGTTAATTCACTAGGCCAACTTGCTTCACTCAGGTATACTGTTACGTGGACATGCCGTTTTGCAAACATGACTGCTGATTAATTCTCTATAGAATTTATATAAAAAATCAAACTTAATCATGATCATTCATAAGAATTAAAAGTTCATGATTCTGTTGTGAATTTCTTTTGTGGAGAAAATCGCTGTCTAACAATTGCTTATCACAGTTTTAACAGTTCGTACTGGAAGTGCACAATCGAAGATGAAAGATCGGCTCTCAAAACCATTTCCTACTTCATATTCAAATTTTAATGCTGAATATGAAGCTGTCGTGCCCGCCTCATGATAATCTTCTTCTTGTTAAAAAAACGCATGGAAT